AATACTTCTAGAGACATAAATAAAATAATCGAATGACCCAGTCTATACAATTCAGAGAATGCCTTAAGCAAAAGAAGATCCCTGTAGGCTGCCCACCACTCTTTACTCTCGAAGATTGTGCGATCACCATAAATAAAGGAATTTGCATTAGTGTCTTTCCTGGACTTAGCAGTGGTTTTCAACAATGTGTTTCAGGTCCGTTAGAGCCTAGAGACTTGCATGTAGATAAAACTGTGGTAGGATGGTGAGCTCGCAACTAGAGGGCAAAACGTCCCGCATATCCACAGAGAGTCACCCTGTCTGAAGTCCCAAAAAATGAGTTCGCTGAAGCCTTTCGCAGAATACCTTCGATACCATTTATCTGATGCTAAGAAAGCTAATTCCCGCGGTAGTTGGCGCATATCGCAGGGCCAACTTTCTTGTGGATTGGAGTTGATGTATGCACCTTATCAACCCATCGCCGACATACTTTGCTAGCAAGCCAACAGACCCGGTAGCTTTGGTGTTTTACAGCCTCAAAATTGCTAGTCATGTCATGTCCGTCGCCATCGTTGTCCTTACAGGAAATCGTCCCACAAGTTCGCAAGGGCGCAGGTACTTCTTGCTTGGTACCGTAAAGCGCTTTCTTGGTTGGCGGCGACATCAGCCTTAGCCTTTGCGAGGGGATCAGCCAGCTGGGCGGAGGCAGGTTCAGACTAAAGGATCTGCATATTCCAGGTGCATGCCCTCAAATCATAGCACTTTAAAAGTTTGTCGTGGTCTGCGTCATTAGTACTATGTTTTATGTGACAGGTCTCAAACTCAGCGCAAATCCACAACCTGCCGCAATTTTGGTGCAAACGTTTGTATAGCGAGGCGCATGCTCCAAGACAGACGAACGCTAGCAGCTGCAGCTCATGATGAACATACGCTGCTGAATTTTGTGAGCCTCTAAACCGAATAAGGCGGCAGCCCCACAAAAACTCCCTCTCTTTCAGCCGCGAGTGAAGGCTCCATAGATAGGTTGGTTACCCATCTGGTCAGTAACGAGAGTCGGTATTGAGTATGGTCGTGCAACCGTAACTGCAAATGTACCCATAAGAACGACCATACTCTATCAGGACCCTGGACTATTTTTGTTCGTCTAAGTTCGTAACTAAAACTGCAGTAGTTACCCGAACTTCCTTAAACTTAAATAAATACGTCCGCTTTGATGTAGTTTTAACCGTTACGAACTCATAAGTAGGACACAAATTTCTTCTGTTTATTCTAATAGCGTGAAAGTCATGACTTTAAAAGCTATGCAACTGCGATGCATACAGATCAAACAAATCACCTCAACGCCAAGTATCGACTTGAAAGCAATCTCGTTGCTGTCTTAACCTTGCTACACGAAGTTATTGCAATTTTTCTCCATCTAATACATGTATGTACGGCAGATTCCACACACACGAACACACACACACTTTCAAGTCCTCCCATATGAAATTCTATATTTGCAAATGTATCGTTATTTCAAACAGCACGTTTACGATATGTCACACCATTGAGTGGCGATAAGAGCGAGCGGATGTGGGAATGGAAACGAATAAAAAGTAAACATGTAAAAGTCTTACATGCATCGCTGTGCACAGCCAGTGAATGAGTGTGTCACTTACTTGTCCAGATACTTTTCAATCTTCTCGTAGAGCGTTTGCCTTGTGCTGCGATGATGGCGTATATGAATGCGTTCGATGCGAGTCAATTCCGGGCCGACGATGCCGCTGCGGCGTTGTCGATGATGCGGCATTGCTTGCTGCTGCTGCTGCTGTGCGTTGTTTTTGTTGTTGCTGTGAATTTCTGC